AATACTGATGGTAGTAATCATCAATTTATTTCGCATCTAATAACTATGAAAATGATTTATTATCGACTTCATATTAGCTTAATTAGACAATAGCGATTGCACCACTGTTTATAGAATTCTCCTAAACAGCGTTCATGTTAGCAAAGCGAATGGATAAATATACCGATGCGATTGTTATTAATATATTTATATCAGATCATTTGATGATTACCATATAAACTCAATAGAAAACTCATCATGACTGTAAATTTTACATAATATTAGATCGTCACTGTATGTAGGTAGCTAGTATAAAATCATAAACAGTTTGAATTCTAACCCTGTTCTAAAGTAAAATAGAGTTATGCAAGAGTTATATTTGGTAATTTACTGTTTTTAATTTAAGATTTCGTCGGGTCATAATAGCCCGGTAGCGGAAACTGCCAACAAATTAATTAACAAGATTATTATATGGGAGAACTACAATTTGTTAATGGAAGTTTATCTGATTGAACTCTCCTTTATAACAATAAGTTATTTTATAAAAATGACGCGATCTTATATATTTACGGAAGTCTTATGAGATAAAAATGAATTCCTCCTATTCTCACTTTTAAAATACTATTTTTTGTGCTACAATCAACAGTTATTCCCTTACTATTTTAATTTTAATGAGTATAATTCTCTATTTTAGTAACAGCAAATTTCGATGGAAAAATTTTTCACGTCAAAGTGCATAATTATTTTCTTGATTATTTCAATAAGGAAGGACAGTACTAAGCATACCCGTAATATAGTTTTATTCTCTCTGTCGTTATTTATGTAACATAGTACGTAGGGACTTTACTTTAACAAAATTTTACCAACATAAATACGTCTATTTATAAAAGATAAAAGGTTCAGACTAAGACAATTACGTTATTTCAAACTGGAATTGGTTTTAAAGGAGTTACCATTACTTTCCTATTTCTTTCTTTTAAGTAACATCCAAGCTCCTTTTAATTAAGATAAAATTGGATAACTTTTAACGTATATATATTTTATCATATTGTAGATACAAATAGTTCGAATTTTGATGCTAATAATTTAATTAATGTCTACTAAAATCACATTTTTAACAGAAAGATGCCTTGATCAGCAGGCATAATTAGGGTCTAATTGAGATTTTCTAGATATCCGCGAAGAGCTCGTTTTATAATAGCTTTTTAAATAAATAGATTGACTTCTGTATATATTATCTTTGTTTGCATGTTCTTTTATAGTTAATAATGTAAGCAAATTAGATAAACGATACATCATTCGAACTATTACTTTAGTTATAAATAGCTATATTCTTTTTTAAACATTGGATAAATATATGTTAACAAT